CATTTTGTTTCCCCCCATATCATCATCCCCCCGATCCCCATCTACAACTCCGTCACCTTCGACGTCTCTCTTGCCTGCACGCCCGTCCATCATCTTCATCCCACGGGCACAGCGCATGTCGAGGTGACCCAACAGGCGGGACGGTCTTCATCAATCACTCTTAGACTGCATCGGTACTCTTCCCTCTCCTCATCTCTTAATCAGCCCTCTTTCCTCTCCGCTACCCTTCTCCAACCTGTGGCCTTCAGCCACTAGGTACAAGTCCAAAATCCACTTTCGATTTCGGACTGCCCTACCGGCCTTGCAAACGCGCCAACACCATCTTCTTCTCAACCACAACACCAAGCCTGTCCCAGCTGCTTGTCTGGCACTGCTCGTTGACTGTTGCATCGCGTCAGACGCTGGGCATGCTGCACTCGTCACTCATGACAGCAGAGAGCTTGGGTTAAGTTGCCAGCTTCGGGTCCTGAGCGACCGATGGTTACGGTCTGCGGTTCACGGTCCTTCACCTAAACTTTGTTAATCCTTTGCGCACTCGCACTCGTCACCGGTCTCGTGGCCACTGACTGTTGCGCCGGTCATCAAGATCACCCAGGTCTGCAGTCGTTCTCTACCCTTTTCGATTCCTTTTACGCCTTGTGTGCCTGCTGCTTGGGTCTTCCACGGGCTTCGTTCCCCATCCACCCTAGCTCTGCAAATTCAACATCGTCCTCGCGACAGCTCCACCTTCTCGCTGACAGCCTTTCAACCACCGAGCTGTCAACGAGGTGTCGTGCCCTGTTGCAGCAATGGCGCCCTCTGCAAAGTCTGCTTCCAAGGGACAGACCAAGACTGCAAATGCAAAGACCACTTCCGGCCATGCGAAAACTAAGCAGACCCCTCCTGCCGCTACCCCCGTCGCCAATCGCCAGGTTGTGCTCCCGGTCATCCCGCTACCTATGATGCAGAAACAGCAAGCCAATAATGCCAACAAGGCTGGCAAGACGACTCCCAAGCATGCCGCCAAAGCGTCCGTCTCCTCCAACGGTACTCCTGCCTCCTCCCTCGAGGCTGCTCTCATCGATCGCGATCCCATGCCCTCCAGCAAGGGCCCCGAGAACAAAGCAAACAGAATTGTGGAGAAGCATAGTCCTGTTGCTAACGTTGCGGCTGGAGGTGCTACTCCTGTTGCGGTTCCCAACCAGGCGCAACCGCAGCAGGTTTCTACCCAAAGCAATGGCGAGATGGGACACGATGATCATGTCACGCCTCAGCACTCCTCCGCCCCCTCGCTTGTCACGCCTCAGCAGTCCTCTACCCCCTCTGTAGCAGATGCCGAGTCCATCGCTGCTCCCGCCATGGTAGAGGAGGCTCAGTGTAAGCCACCTGCTCAAGCTCAACAGCTGTCCCTGCAGACTCGCATGGCTGGACTGAGCCTTGCTGATGTTTCCTTCTTTCCAGCTACAAACGGTCACCCTGTGATGAATCACTCACAGCCTCAGTCGGCCACTTCGTCTCGACCCGACTTCCCTCTTTTCCAGCCTCCGCCTCCGCATATGATGCATCAGCCTATGATGAACCCTGGTGTCCGATCGCATCACATGTATCCTCAGCATAGGCCCCAGATGAGCAATGGTGGTGGAATCATGTTCGGCGTTTTGGATTCTCACACACCATCCCCCGCTCTTCCAGGAAGCTTCCTACCGCCTCCCCCTCCCCCCATGAATGGTGACCATCACTTTAAGCACCTCAACGGTCACCACCATGCGCACTCCAACAGCAACGGCTTCGTTCCACCTGCCACTGGTCATTTCCCAGGCGACATGGCACCTATCTCCACTGTTGATGCTTATGGTCCAGTACCGGCTCCTGCACCTCCTGCTCTTTTTGAGCCATTCATGCATGGCATGAACCGCTACGAGCCCCAAACGCCACATAGCTTCCACGGATCTCACACCTCGGGTGAGATGAACGGTCATGATGGCGCTCACGTTCAGTACGCCAATGGCGCACCTCACATGCACCCTCGGCCTGAGCGCCCCCTTGTACACCCGCAGCATCCTCAACTCCCGCCATTCATGCCCCCCTTAGCTTTCAGAGGACCCCTCATGCCGGAGCAGAACATGATGGATACGACAGTTGCTTACATCAAGTCTCAGTTTGATAACAAAGAGCTTGCCGATTGTGTGTTGGAGCTTGTGTCCACGAAAGGTTGCCGCCACCCTGTCAAGATAGACGCCCATCAGATGATCCTGGCTCAAAGCCGATCCGTCAAGGAATATATCAATGCTGCTCGCTTGACCAAGAAACCTGTACAAGTTATCACCATCCAAGATGATGATCCATATCTGCGATCAGACGCTTGGTGGATGGCTGTTCAACGCCTGTACATGCACTCGCTTTTAGAACCCCCGATGAATGGCATGGACTTTGCTGGAGATAAGATTGAACGCTTCCGTTTTTGTCTCGGCTATGCTGCTGCAGGACACAGTCTTCAGCTAGACGATGTTCTGATTCGAGGTCTACAACTGGCGAGTGACCTTGTCACCTGGAACACCATTGAGACGGCCCTCGGCTTTGTGTACGGGAATGCAGTTCGACGACATTTTGACCATTTTGATTCCCGTGAGCCAAACCAATCACCCACTGCTTTGGAGTTCGGATATGGACCCCAGACCGAGATTCTCTTGGCCGCAATCATGAGCTTTCTCATCAACGAGTTCCCCTCCAACTTCGAGCTGGACTGCTCAGTCATGGATTCTCAGGATTTTTCAAGATTCCCTGCCCACCCACTGGCCAATGGGGTTCCAAGACCAGGGTATGCGAGCAAAGCCGGCCCTACCATTGCTAGAGGCACGAACACCCGTCATCCGTCCAAGTCGCGCTTGCCCAATATCAAGTTTGGTGATCTTCCTGCCACATATCCCGATGATAGTTCAGCCCCCAACCGCCAACCTGCAAAATACGCATCTATCATGTCCCGTGTTCTGTTGAACCTCCCATATGAGGAGCTTTGTGGCGTTCTCTCATCCAGCAGCAATGGTGTCTCAGGCTGGAACACCGCCCAGGACCGATACCATGCTGTCTCTGGAGTTGTCGCCGAGAGAGAAGCGAGACGTCTGCGTGCAGTTGATGCTGTCCGCTCTGGACTCGTTTCTGACCCATACGAGATTCAGCAGCGGCTCTCAAATGTTCACAGACCTACCATTGCAGGCGAGTGGGATGATCTGAACTGGGAAGAGCGTGTAATTATGGACGAGGGCCCTGTCCCACGTATTGTTCGCCGTTGGGTACCTCAATTTAATCTTGTTCCCCAGGTGACACCCCACCGAGCCGCGCCAGCATACGACACCCCTGACTCGATGGTCTAATGTGTGGCCTTGGGCTATACAATTTAACGGGGGCATGGGAATCACGACGAGACGATAGAGCAATCATTGGCATGGGTAAAACAAAAGTTTTCTACAATGCATGGCACCACGGCTCTTGGGCATTGATATTCGGATTGGTTTTACGGTCGGCATTGCGTTCGGTGTTTGTGTATTTCGGGTTCTCTTCTGTAAGGACATATTGACTTGGGAGGCATGGTTTGCAAGCAAAAACGTCGTTGTTTTGCCGTTGGTGGGGGGGTTTTTCACGTCTGATTGCAAGCTTGCGCTGCGCCAAAAGACGGTAAAGGAGATACCACAGAGACCTCATCAAATGATGAGGTGGTCGAGCATGGCGAGCGCGGATAACATAATACCCATTTTACAACCCGTACCCCTATTGCCGAGTTGAACGCGCGATGAGTTTGAGCAACTAGTCTGGACACTACGGTCTGTGGCTCTTTGTATGAAGGTTATATGACGGTTCCGGAAGCAGGAAAGCTTTCCTGCACATGAGCGGAGAAGCAACCTCTGAGATACTTGCATTGCGTTTTCTTTCGCTCAGGCATGGCAAGTCGGGGACAAGAAAAGGAGAGATGGATCGGAAATGCGGATGAGATGTCCTGGTGGAGCAAGATGGCATCACAGATGGCGCTGTCTAAAACTCCAGTAAATACTCCGAATCCTGCAGAGTTAATTTGTTACGCTGTCTTTTCCCTGTGTCTCTTCTCTACAACTGGCGTAACTTGTATGGTGAGATGAAGTATGAAGTGATAAGAACAGCATGCACTCTGTAATTCCGGTTAACTATGATGCAGTTTTCCCGGGGCAATCTTCAAGATTGGCACAATTCATTGTTTTCGAGGTAAGCAAAGTGTAGTTTCGGTTTGTTTTCAAGCGGGCGTTGAAGCTGGGGCTGAATAGAACGGGGTATCGTACGATACGGGAGCTTGGATCTTGATATTCCCGCATCACACGGAGACATGTTTACATTTTCATAGCGGTTGAGGTTTTCAAACCACCAATCCGGGAATCAGAAAGGTAGCCGCATGATCCGTAGCCTTTCGGTCCTTGATTGACCACTACATCAAAGTCATGGTTGTTACTCACAAGGTAGTCGCTAGGCATATTTCCATCAGCCTTCCACGTGAAGCAACCGAGCAACCTCACAAAGCATCCAGTGACTGCTATAGATACACATTATAGGCATAGACTCTCGTGTATGACTCGATGTGGTTGTTCATAGCCTCGACAGATTGTTCCTCGGTGCGCGGGCGATTACAAGACCGAGGTGAGGTTTTAGGGATGGTTAAATAGAGATAGTGTATTTAAAAACCAAATAGAAGTCGCGTCAGACGATTATCCTTGTGTCCATAAGGTAGCTGTCTAAAGTACTAGTGGACTGGTAGAGAGTGGTGTAGCTGGTCAAACGTGTCATGGAATTGCTCTAGGAACGGTTTACTCAACGAGCGACACGTAATATCTAGGACTGGGGTGCATACAATACATTTTGCATTTATTGCTGCCCTTGCCGACTCGCCGATACAACTTGTCAGCGCTACAGGACTCAGGAGAGTTCCGAACTTTAACCATGAGTGGGGCTAAAAAAGGCTATATGTAGCTGATTTAACGGACCAAGAATCAGCAAAATCAGCCCTACTGGCCTAATGGTTAAGGCGTGAGACTTCTACCAAGTAAATCTCAAGATTGCGAGTTCGAGTCTCGCGTGGGGTTCAATTTTTTCACTTTCCTCACTTTTTCCCATACAGCTGGCTCTTTTTTTCTTCTTTCGGTCACCGCTGGTCCTGGTCCTACTACACGTCGGACTTAAACCCAGCAATCCTGATTTTTGCTCAGGGTTTCGCATCTTTGAGTAATGAACACTGGGTGTGGATCCACAAATCATGTTCGTTCTAGGCGCATGTGAGAGCGAAAGGCATAGGTAGTAGATTGGAGGACTGAGCAGATTACCGCATTTGGAATGCTGTTCCGAGTTTTGCGCTAGCGGGCGTGATGACCGAGGCGAGTCCTTCTAGAAGGAATAGGCAGATGGGCAAAGCGGACTGGGCTGATTGGAAGGGCAAGGGGCTTTGGTATAGTGCTTATTGGGCTTGTTTACTGTCTCGGCTGTAGTAAGATTGCCGAAGACTGTAACTTTTTATGTGAAGCGTTGCCATGTGTTCACCTTGCAATACTGCGCTATGATTGACTGTTGGAAAGGGAAGCTCTTCTGGTGACAAGCGAGAGACAGGGTATGATGACAACTCCCGGGAGACTGCATGGGATGGGCGGGAGCGTTTCTTGGCCTCGCTTGGCTTTGTCTTGTCCCGATGATGAAATTGGGAATGACAAGTTCTAGATCAACACGTCCTCCAAAAAATGACTCGTGACGAGAATACACAGAGCTGCATCTAGGATCGGAAACAGGGAGGTAGCGAGATAAGAAGGATTAACCAATGAACCGATGGACTGCCTCTAGATACGATGCCGTCAAATGTCTCATACAATTGCAAAGTACCGAGAGCCTTGACCTGAGACATAATAAACAGAATGTTTACCAACAGTCCAATCATCGACCATGAAACAAATGATAAGAACTGCAAAGTAGATCCTGACAGCAGTGCGACCAGCAGCCCGGAGCGTCCGTCTAGTCAGCAAGAATCGGGTCTCGAGGGTCTGTCTCTTATCGAGATGTCCTTTCGCGAGGCCAGTCCCCAACCCGCTAACAACATTGAAGGCAAGCTCGTTCATTGGTGCGAGCTAGGGTGCACCCCAGACTTGAGAAGTGTCAAGCCTTTGACTAAGGGGTTTTTCTGAGAGCGCTGGAGTTAGCCGCATCGCTGCGTGACATAGGAACATGGGGTTGGAGGTCCTCTCTTTGTGGAGATGATAGATGATAGGATGGGGAGCATGGTTGAGAGGCCGATCACCGCTGGTTATGGTAGGGTTGCCTGTACGTCAGATAAAGTACTCGCGCTCGCCGCACGTTGTTCTTGCGACTCTTCTCTTGAGTCTTGACTTGTCGTTCAGAGTGATTGATTTCTGGTTGTGTTGATTTGCTTCGCTCATTGTAGGTTGACATCTCTCGCCACTCTCCGATTCTACGTATTGTCATGTTTCTCCCTTTCTTGCTTCTACCCCTTGCGATCCAAATGGGGTTCCGACGCAGTTACACACTGACTTGTAGAGTGACTATTGAAGTCCCATACTGACGTGTGAACCAGGAGACCGAACGCGCCAGGGCGATACGGAGCGAATTGGGTCGGGAGGAGTTGTCCAGTAGCACCTAAGCCCATATTCAGCCCCATCCATCAACATCAACCAAGATGGAAGAGGGCGGGCTTCGCAGCCGCGCAGCTCGTACTAGCCTGTCTGATGATGACGCCGCGGGCCTCGCCCATATGGGCCACACCCAGGAGCTGAAGCGAAGTTTCTCTACAGTCTCTATGCTGGGTCTTGCATTCGCGATTCTCAACACATGGACGGCGCTCGCCGCCTCAATCAGCCTTGCCCTACCGTCCGGTGGTCCCAGTGCCGTCATCTGGGGACTAGTCGTCGCCGGGATCTGTAACATGTGTCTCGCAGCCTCCCTCGCCGAATTTCTCTCCGCGTACCCAACGGCAGGGGGTCAATATCACTGGGCAGCTATCATCACACCACAGAAATGGAGCCGAGGAGTTTCGTACGTGACGGGATGGATCAACGTCTCTGGATGGGTGGCCCTGACTGCAACCGGTGGATTACTCGGTTCGTCCTTCATCCTCCAAATCGCCACCTTCTTGCACCCGAACTACGAACAGCAAGCCTGGCACCAATTCCTCATCTACGTCACTTTCGCATTCATCGCGCTCGTAATCAACGCCTTCGCCAACCGACTTCTGCCCCTTCTCAATAAAGCAGCGTTCATCTGGTCCTTGGCAGGCTTCATCATCATATCCATCACAGTGCTCGCCTGCGCGTCACCAACCTATCAAAGCGGCGAGTTCGTCTATGGGGAATTTATCAACACGACGGGCTGGCCAGATGGGCTCTCATGGCTCCTCGGTCTTCTCCAGGGTGCCTTTGCCCTTACCGGATTCGACGCCGTAGCACATATGATCGAGGAGATTCCCAACCCGCAACACCGGGGTCCGACAGTCATGTTCGCATGTATCGGAATCGGCGTCTTTTCGGGCTTCGTATTTCTTTCGGCTTTGCTATTCTGCGTAAAGGATATCAATGCCGCTATCGAAGCACCATACGGTCCTATTCTACAAATTTTCTACGACGCCACGAATAACAAGGCTGGATCTACGGCTTTGCTCATCTTCCCCCTCGTCTGCATGCTGTTCACTTCCACCGCCCTCCTCACTACTTCGTCTCGCATGAGCTACGCGTTTGCGCGTGATAGGGGTCTGCCATTTAGCAGCGTGTTTGCGAAAGTCCACCCCACGCTCGACGTCCCGCTCAATGCGTTGTTGTGGACTGTGGGCTGGGTCGTAGTTTTCGGATTGATTCTGTTGGGTAGTAGCAGTACGTTTAACGCCATTACGGCAGCGAGCGTTGTCGCGCTTGGGGTCACTTATGCTATACCGCCGGCTATCAATGTCCTGCAGGGAAGAAAGAAATTACCTGAGGATAGAGCGTTCAAACTCAATGGGCCGCTGGGCTGGATTTGCAACTTGGTATGTCTCCCTTGCTTTCTCCCTAGCGTTGGTCAAGTGTGTGTGTAGTAATAAGATGACGATAGGTCGGGATCGCATGGACACTCTTAACAACAGTGCTCTTCGTCTTCCCACCAGAGACACCCGTGACGTCGGAGAACATGAACTATGCCGTTGCGGCGTTCGCTGTCATCTTGCTGATTGCGGGTGTTACGTGGATAGTTGACGGCAGGACACACTACAAGGGACCAGTAATTGATGTTCAGGGTTTGATCGATGGCCGGGTTATGGGGGAGAATATGGAGCAGGTGCCCGCGAGCAGTGAGGATGGGGAGGGGAAGGAGAGACTGAATTAAGTCTCAAAGCCATCAAGACTTGAGCTTGGATATACCCATTGGAAGACGTATATGATTCATGTAAGTACTTTGGTCTCATTTGGGGTGCAGCGATAAGACGCGTGTTAGAATACCATATAATATACCCTTTTATTGTTGCAGTTAGCACACCGTACCTGAAGACTTTGCATTCGGTTCGATATTCTCTGCGTCGAAATATGGACATTAATCTACCTTTGTAGAATTTGGAACCATGCCAATAGTTCGATTCAACGTTGCTTTGACTTTTGTGAAGCCTTCCAATTTATATGATATGGTCTTGGTCTATGTACGGGAACCCGTTGATCCTCATTACCAGGATCTACGATCTACCTCTCCAATTTTACCCCGTTAGTGAGTGGTTAGCTGCTGTTGATAAGGCATGTGGATAGTATACTGGACATCATCTACATCGTACATGTTATCTAAGGTATGTATAGCTCAATACATTGCCCCAAGGTTCGTGCTCAATATCTTCGAAAAGCAGTTCTTCCTTCTCGGAGGGCAAAGCTGTCTTGAAGATGGCATCTCGGTCCTGCCCAGTTGAGCGAGCGATTCGGAGCCGGTGGAGTAATTAAACAACGACGCTATCAGAAGCCTAAACCTGCCGAGGCATAGCGACACCATGCACCTAATTTCCCTGCCCGCATCATTGCATCCCAACGCTTGTCATGCCAGTCCCTCCCCCGAAGTCTCTCGGCGCCCTGTTTATCTGAGTAGTCCGTCTATCTGTCTCTCCCTACCTATCTATCAACTCCTCATCGTCTTGCTCGCCGTCTGGGGGCTTACAGGGTGACTTGTTCACGTTCAACTTCGAATGCCGCTCATTTAGACATTTAAATCGAAGCCAAGCGATCGGGTCCGCTTTGTCGCGTCATCGAGGTCCCCTAAGCTTGGGTTCAGATGCGCAAGCTGGTACTGACTTGGGCTGGTAGTGTCATCCCGTCGTCCTCAGCTGCACACGCGAGCTGAAGAGGGCATGATCCATTCAACGACCACCATTTGCACCGAATCATCAACGGAACAACGTACACAGAGGCGTCTCTGTTTTTCTGATCACTTGCTTTTTCGGTCATAATTCGCAAGGGATTCGCGCGCGCGACAGCCTTTTGGATGTGTTGAACCAAGGAATACGCCTCGGACTCGAACCTTTGGAATCCCTCTTAACATGGCCTCCGACGCTGGTCCTTCGAGGGGTTCTCCTGTTCCTCCCATCGAGATTCCCAAAGCCGCCGCATCGCGACCCAGAGCTGGTTCGACAGCCAAGCCCAAGTCGCTCGCTGACCCCGTCCTGCGCAATGCTTTGAGATACACCATCTCGGTGCGCGAGTACGAGACCCTCCATCGATATGTCATATCACGCTCGAAAGTCCTTCGGAAACGCACCCCGAGCGTCAACGCGCTCGAGAAGTATATGGACGGCGGTGAGCGCAACCGAAGAGGTTCTGTAAGCCGACGAGAGTCCGATGAGGTGAAAGGGAAAGGAAAGGCCGTTGCAGGAGGTTCGAGCTCAAGAGGAGGCGATACCTACAACGCCCGCGCCATTCGACATGCTTTGCGTGTCTTCTTTGGTCTTGGCATCGGAACCAAGGCGTTGGAGCTGATCATTGCGCGCGTTAAGGGGCAGAAAGAGTGCGTATGACTGACTAGACGGTATGGCGCATCGTTGAAAGCCAATTGAAAGCTAACGGTTGCCTACCATGATAGGGCTGGATCA